TTAAACCCAATGCAGGCCCTCCATGCACGGGACCAGGGCGACTGCACAGCCATGTGCCCACGGAGCCGGCCCTGGCTCTGTGTCCCGACAGAGGTGCGTGGAGGAACGCATTTCTTGTTTTAAAACCTGTGCTTTTCACTGCTTGTCAGGTATACCAATAAACTCACGTCAATGAAAACAAAGGCACGTGACAAATAGGGTCACACATTCCCAGCGTGTCGCAGGAGAATGTGGGTGTGGGTGTGGGTGTGCCATGGTGAGTATTATCCTTAACCTGTGTCCCTGGCCCCCACATGCGGTCCTACAGGGCGTGCACTGCCCAGCCTACGCCATTCACACCGACCACAGCGGGAACCGTGAGCCCGGAGTCACTCAGCCGGTGGCCTGTGCCCTGTACGCGGTGGCCCTGGTTTGCACTGTGTGTCTAACTACACTTGAGAGAATCGCCATGTATCTACGATGGCTGTTAGGAAATGCAGGGCCTTGGCCAAATGGATTTGTTGTGAATCCCAATCCAGGGAGAAATCCAGGAGGAGTCAGCCCAGGGAAAGACTTTCCTGGGACGTAAAAAGGAACCATCCTTCAAGTTCCTCAGGCCCGGGGCAGCTCAGCCAGTCCCACCCCCGACACGGCTGCAGCCTCCGCTCAGACAGAGGAGGGCTGGATTCAAGTGCCCGAGGTAATTTCTCACCCAGAGTAAGATAAGACACAGAGTCATCTGGAAATTTAAATTACCACTGTTTACACTGAGCAGGCTCCTCACACGGAGAAGCTGTTTCCAATTAGGAAGCACGCAGGCTGGTCGCCATCAGGGGCTGATGGGACACCCTCTGAGAGTGAGGAGGTGAGACGGCCCAGACACCTAATTACTTGGAAAGATAATCTTGAATAATTGGAATTAGAGCAACTAGAGCAATTATCAGCTGTTGTGATCTCCAGGGCAGCCCTCCGCCAGGCAGAGGGGTTCAATCACCTCTCATAAGAGCACGTAATTAGAGGGATCCAGAATGTCAGCACGGAAAGTGGCGGAACCAGCACTTCAAAAGGGGGGTGGGAGGGCCGCATGTGGTGCTGAGAAACGGAGGCCGGAGGGAAGGTGGGAAGGACGTGAGGGGTGAGAAAGGATGGGTGGCGTTAGCAGGGCGGGTGGGTGCTGCTTAAAAGACTTCAGGAGCCTGGAGCCTGACTCTAATGTACACTTGCTGTGTGACCTTGAACAAGGCACTTAACCTCTCTGGGCTCTACTTTCCTTCCACTCTTCAGTCACTCAGCAAATGTCCAAGGCACATCTGCCTGGGGCCCGGCACTGAGGGCGCCGGGTCTCACTCTTATGCACGTGCCACTCATTCTCCAGGAATGACCTCCCCGGGAGCCCCTCGCCCACGAGACGAGACGGAAGATCACTCCTCCTTCAGGACCTTCCCCACGTGGCCCCCTCCGCACCGCCCTCTGTCCCCCCGCCGGGCCCGGCTCACGGAGGTGGCGCTCCCCTCCTGTCTGTCCCCCAGAAGGGGTCTTCTCAAGAGCAGAAGCTGTAGGAGACTCTCCCCCAGTCCTGGCTCCTGGCACACGCCCGGCAGGAGCTGCTGACCGCTGGTCTGAGGCAGGGTGGCCGGAGGTCACTGCAGCCCGTTCCTGCAGCCAAGGCGGCTGTCTGCCCTGCTCCCAGGACTGATCGACACAGCTGGGCAGCCTGTGGGTTGGCTCATGCAAGTTGACAGAGTTCCCCAGGCAGCCAGGGGTGAAAGATCGCCCGGGATGGATGCGCAGGCACAGGGCGCCCTGGCCCCCGTGTGTGTGGGCTGCAGCCAGCAGGCTGGCCCACTCGTAGCTCCCACATCAGAGTCTGGGCAGCTCTGGAAGCTGGTTGCCACCCCCCTTCCCTGCTCAGCATGTTCTGATCTATGCACGTTTCAGTTCTATGGCATAAATCAATAAAATGCACTAAATAAATTAAGTGAGCAGCAGAACTGTAAATAGAATTCAGACGGAGAATAGAGAGGTTGAGGGAACCAACAAGAGACCGTTATAGAAACTGAAGTGAGAAATGACTCAGGCAAGACTCCGGATTGTGGCCAGGAGCCGCCACGTTGTTACACAGCAATGCAACATCAAACAGATGAAACCTACAAGCCTCGGAGATTGTTCTGCAAAAATTGCCAGCTGGTGGCTGCCAGAAATCCCAGCGCGCTGGGCAGCGGGCGGGGAGCAGGGATGGCTTAGCACACAGCTCAGCCCAGGTGGGTCGGAGCCGACGGTGGCTTCAGAATCAGGGTCCAGGTTTTTGAACCCAAATGAGCTACCTCGTGTCTGTAACATGGCCCTGTTCCTTCTTCATTCATTCATTCATTCATTCATTCATTCATTCAACAAACCTTCACTAAATTCTTGCTGTGTGCCAACCCATCTGGGGCACGGGAGCCACAGGAAGGACAAGAGCCAGTGCCTGTCCTCAGGGAGCGTCCAGTCTGCTGGCGGGGATGACCTCAATGCAGCGTGACGGGTGCTAACAGGACCAGTCACAGTGGGTACCTCTGGGGTTCGGGGTGGCGTTTCAGAAGAGGTCATGGCTAAGCTGGGTTTTGAAGGATCAACAGAAGTTTGCAAGACAAGCAGGTGGTGACGGCAGTTCAGGCAGAGGAAACAGCATGTGCAGAGGCGCAGGGGCATGAGAGACGATGGAGAGTTTGGGGGGTCTGCATGCAAGTGGGGAGGCAGAGCTGGGGCACGAGGTCCACGTCACAGATGGTAAAAGGTGGAGTGGCAAGCCCTGGATCACGGAGGGCCGTGACCGCCGCATTAAAATGTCCTGGGTGGGCTGGGAGGCATGAAAGGATTTTCATTTCCGAAAGATAACAAGAACTCAGGGTGGGGAAGTTTTGCTTTACTTTTTACTGACGTATCCCATATCCCATGTGTACAGAAAAGTGCGTGCACAGCGGGTGTGCAGCCTGAGGAGCTGGCACAAACTGAGCACAGCCGTGTAGCCAGCACCCGGATTAGGGAGCCGAGCGTCGCCCGCTGCCCGCTGCCCGCTGCCCGCTGCCAGAGCCCTCCGCACGCCGCCTCAGTCACGCCCTCTCTTCAGGGCAGCCACTGTCCTGATTTCTAACAGCAGAGATTCGTTCTGCCTGCTCCCAGCTTCACAGAAATGGGAGCATATAGTGTGTAGTCCTCTGAACCTGGCTTCTTTTGCTCAACATCTGTGCTGCTGGGGGCGGTGGTACACGGTTCACTCTCGGTGCTACTCCGTCTCCACCGTGTTGACGGGCGTTGAGGAATTGCAATGAGGATGCTGCAGTGCAGCCTGGCAGCAAATATGAATCATGGGAACTCAGTTCATTCATTCATTCATTCGTCCATCCATTCATTCACTCACTCATTCATGCATCCATTCATTCATTCATTCATTCTTCATTCACTCCCAGTGAGAGGCCATCTGCCTGTGAGGATACGCTCCCACCTGGGGCTTAGGAAACCGGAACTTCACACCTTGACAGAGCGTTACTGGGGAATCTGGTTACTATAACGATGGAGGAAACCCAAACGTCTTCATGGGCTCTGAGCAGGGATCTGAGGTGCAGCCCAGTCCAGCAAAGGGGCATCTTGATTTGCGGCTGCAGCCCTTCCACCGTAGTGGACCCTGTGCTTAGCCATCCCCGCTCCGGCAGGCGGCCTTTCGCCTCGTTCACCCTTGCTCCCCAACGCCCAGCCCAGAGCTGGTCACGGAGTTGGTGCTCAGGAGTGTACACTGGCTGCGCACAGAGGTGCTCCCCTGGGGCCTGGCGAGGGAATGGAGGTTTGCTACCTCACCCAGACGCTGTGGTCACTTTGGGGTGACAATGTCCAGGGGAGACCTTTACTAGCAGTTCAGGCAGAGGAAACAGCATGTGCCCTTAGCGCGTCTCAAACACACATGCACCCAAAAACCTCGCTGGGCCAGTTCCAGCACAACCAGCTGCCAACCATCCTTGAGGCCTGTGGTCACACCCAGGTGGTATCATACGCTCTGTGCCTCAGTTTCCTCATCTGTAAAATGGGGGTTAAATGAGCCAATGTGCGTGGAGTTCTCAGGATGGTAGCCGGCATGTGGTCAGCATGGCATGGAGCCAGGCAGTGTTTGTGTCATGATCACACCCACGTTTTGCAGACCAGGAGGAAGTCACAGAGCGAGCAGGGCGGGGTGAGGGCCTGGGAGAAGGATGCTCTTCAGGGAGAGCGCGCCTGGGCTCCAGCACTGGCCCCGGCTCCCTGTGGCCCTGAACAAGCCGCGCATCTCTGCCCTGTGGAGCGGACAGTGTGGCGAGGACACGGCGAGGGCCCCGCTCCCGCAGGAGCCTCTGGGAGGGCCAGAGCGGGAGGCCGGGGAGAGGCCACCCACGGACCCCTAGGGAGGGCTCAGTGCTTGAGAGGCAGCGAGTCCATGAACAGCTTTCAGCAACTTGGCTGCAGAGCCAGCCCACTCAGCCTCCTGGTGAGCATTTTATAGCCACGGCCAGAAGGTCCGCAGCGTGGCTGCCAAGCCCTGGAAGTGAAATTATGAGGCCAGTAAAACACGAAGACGCAACCTCTCCAGGCCGGGCGCCTCATAACAGAAGCAGGAATAGAGGTCTGGTGTTTCCAGAAGGAGGCACAGCAAGCCACCTGTCACCGTACATGGACACAGTGTACATACATCCACACACACTCACACATGCACACACACACGCACACATGCATGCTCACACGCGGACACAGTCCCAGCGTGCCCTGGAATGACGGGAGTGTGGTGCCTCTCAGCACCGCCCGCGGGGCAGGGAGGGCAGGACCGTCTTCCTCTCCCCCTTCACCAATTGCGATTTCGGGAGAGATTTGGGGGGAAGCTCCGAGCCCTGCAGGGGTCCGGCTGGGCACCGGGCCAGGCGTGCTGAAGGAGCGCTCTCACGGGGCTGGGCCGCCCCAGCAGGGCCGTGTCTGGAGGGGAGGCCCACACGTGGAGAGGGGAGCGGGCCCACACTTACCTTTCTCCGACGCTGGGGCCAGGTCAATGAAGCTGCGGCATGTCTCACCTTAGAAAAGAAGAGAAGGCTTTTCAGAACATGAGAGCCAGGGCGCTGTAGGCGTCGCCGCCCCCTCCCGAGAGCCTGTGGACGAGGGGGCCCAAGCGTCTGTAACCCAAGTGGCATCTTCCTCTGGCCCTTATTCCTGGGAAGACCGTGTCCCTGCGGATATGGGCTGAGCAGCACCTGCGATGCCGCCTCCTCTCTCGCCTCCCAGCCCATCCAGTCCTGTCTCCCCCATCCCCTCAAAGCCCTGTCCCTTCCCACCGTCCAGGCCCAGCAGGGCGAGGCCACAGCCCCTCACGGGGCGCCAGGGCCTCTGTCCAATCCGTTCTCTGCACTGAAGCCGCAGGGATGTTGTCAAAACAGCTCTGACCACATCCAACACACACGCGCACGCACACACGGACACACACATATGCACACACCTGCTCAAAACCCTATCTTTTCCCGAAGGATAAAGCCTGAACTGCTCAGGTGGACCCAGGACTGGCCCTCCACCCTCACCCCTACCTCCTTCCTCTCAGCTCCCGTGTCCTCGCCTCCCCTCCCACGGCGAGGGCTTCACACACCTGCGCCCCGTCGGAACACGCTCCCCCGTTACCATCCCCACGGCACTGGCCTCCTGCAGAGCACCCAGTCACTGAGAATTCCTCCTGCTGTGATTGGTGGGTGGACGGCCGCACGCTGTAGCCCCACAGGCAGGCCCCACGTCCCCAGTGCATCCCCAGCTCAGTGGATGGAACCCCACCGCCCAGGTGCTCCGGCCAGAGCCTCGATTTCTCTCTCCCTCACACCCCCACACGGCCTGTGGCTCCAGCTTCCCAGGACCCCGAGAATCTGACCACTTCACATCATAGGCGGGGCCCAGCACCATCGTCTCCCTCTTTCTTCCCTTATCCACACAGTGGCCAAAGGGTCCTGTTATAACCTGAGGTTCTGTTGTCTCCGTTCAGAACCCTCCTCTGATTCCCACTTCACTCGGAGTCAGAACCTTTGTTCTCACCGTGGCCTACAAAGCCCTGTGCAATATGACCCCCATCCCCTCCCCGACTTCGTCTAATATCTTCCCGCTGGGTCTCGCCACTCCAGCCACGATGGCCTCCTCGCTGATCCTCAAATGTGCCAGGCATACCCCTGCCTCAGGGCCTTTGCACAGGCTGCTGCTCCTGCCTACAGCATTCTTCCCCCAGATAGTGGAATGGTTTATCCTTCCTCTCCTCCATCACTTTCCTCTGATGTTGCCTTCTAGGGAGGCCTTTCCTAACCTGTTTAACGTTCCAATCTCCCGACACTCCCCATCTCTTCCCACCGGACCCCGATCCCCTCGAGTAGTGCCTGCAACATAGTGAGTGCTCAATCAATATTTATTGAAGGGGCATATGAATAAATGAACAGATGAATAGATGAACAAATAGGAAGTGAATGAATGAATGCCTTGCACCCAAACCTTGTGCCTTTAAGAAACTTCAGTTCTTCCGTCTTTCCTCCGAGGCCTCCTTGATGCCAGCCTTGTGCTGGCCACCAAGGATGCAGTGACAGTAAGACATGGCCCAGCCTCCAGACCAGCGGTTCTCAACCTGTGGGTCGCGACCCCTTTGGCGGTCGAATGACCCTTTCCCAGGGGTCGCCTAAGACCATCGTGCATATCAGATATTTACATTACGATTCATAACAGTAGCAACATTACAGTTATGAAGTAGCAACGAAAATAATTTTATGGCTGGGTCACAACATGAGGAACTGTACTTAAAGGGCCAGAAGGTTGAGAACCCCTGCTCCAGACCCTTCCTTGTAAAAAGAGCACACACAGGGCCCCGCCCCCCTCACCTCACAAACACATTTTATTTGGCTCACACAGGATCCTGAAAATAAGGAAACGGTTGCCTACAAGCCCAGACTTCGGGTTTTCTCTTGAAGAACCAGAAGAGCAGGCCACGCTGGGCCCCCAACCACACAGCAGCCGTCAGGTGGGGTGGGGCAGACGCTGCCCCCTTCAGCCCGGCACATGGCTCTAGTTTGCCACAGTCCCCACCACTCCCTGCTGCTCCACCCCTAGCCCAGGGGTGGGCAAACTTTTTGACTCGAGGGCCACAATGGGTTCTTAAACTGGACCGGAGGGCCGGAACAAAAGCATGGATGGAGTGTTTGTGTGAACTAATATAAATTCAAAGTAAACATCATTACATAAAAGGGTACACTCTTTTTTTTTTTTAGTTTTATTCATTTCAAACGGGCCGGATCCGGCCCGCTGGCCGTAGTTTGCCCACGGCTGCCCTAGCCTCACCTACAGCACCCAGCTGGCCCCTGAGACCTAGACCGGATGACCTCTAGACTGAGCTCCCAACCCTGGTTTAAGGCTCTTCCTGCTGACCCCAGCGAGGAGATAGACTTTGCGTCAGAATGGAACCCATGTGAGTTAGGGGATGAAAAAGATCTGGGAGCTTCCGGCATTGTCACCTCCTGTGTCTGCTTAGAGCTTCCTAAGTTCTTGTCTAAGGAGGTCCCTTGAAGCCCCGTTAGGCTCCTGAACTTCCCTCCAGCCCTGCAGACATGCAAAGGCAGACATGGGGGAGGGAGATGCTGAGAAGGGAGGCGAGGCCAGACCACCAAGGGCCTTGAGTGCTGAGCCAAGGAGCCGCCTCCTCTCTTCGACGATCCCTTCCGGAGTCACGGGCCTCAGGTGGGCAGACGCCGCTCCCGTGGGTGCCCCTGTGCTGTGCTTGCTTCCTCTCTAGGCTCTACACTGAGGCGCAGGGCCTCGCCTCCCTGCACAGATGAGGAAGGGGGCGCTCAGGGCGCTGGGTGCCAGCCTGAGCCGCACAGCGAGCCCGTGTAGAGGTCATCACCTGCTGAGAGACGCTTGCTGGCAGCCAGAAGCTGGGAGGGAGGATTTAGAAAATGACAGTAGATGATGAGCTCGAATGGATGGATTTTTGAAGGAATTGTTTTAAATTTATTTAAGGTTCATATTGTTTTCTCAAAGTCAGAGAGGGGAAATGTTAATGGCCATGTTCTGACCAGCACCCAGGGCTGCATGAAGACCGCAGTGGCCCCAGGAACTTTTGCCTTTTGTATCCCTTCCTATATATTAAAAAAAAAAAAAAAAATTCAAGCTCTGGCCAGTGGTGCTCAGTGGTTACAGCGTCGGCCCATGGAGCAAAGTGTCACAGGTTCAGCTCCCAGTCAAGGGCATGTACCTTGGATGCAGGTTCAATCCCTAGTCTGGGTGCGTGTGGGAGGCACAGATCAATGTGTTTCTCTCACATCAATGTGTGTGTGTCTCTCTCTGTCTCTCCCTCTCCCCCCTCCAACTAAAAATCAATGGAAAAAATATCCTCAGGTGAGGATTAAATAAAAATGAATTAATTAAAATGTATATTTTATAACTGAAAATATTAACATATATTACATCTTTTCTTCACCTAAAAGTTTACTTTTTTTTCTTCTGATTTTAAAAGAAATTAAAACATTTTATGGGCACCTGACAGCATTGTGGGGCCTGGGCTCTGCACACAGGGCCCAAGGGAGAGACCTCCCGGCAGCTCAGGTCTCCTGGTCCGCGCCCCCTCTATCCCCCTCCTCCCCGCCCCCGTCAGTGCCTTCTCACCACCACTGGGCAGCTCGATGCTATTGAAGATTTCTGTACTAGGTATGTGGCCTTCTCTTTTTCTTCAACAGTTTTATTGAGATATAATTCACATGCCATATGATGCATCCTTGTAAAATATGCAATCCAATGGTTTTTTAATGTATTCTTAGTATATTCCCAAGGTTGTGTGACCATCACCACAACCAATTTTAGAACGTTTAGTAGGGGAACCCAGGGGGATGTGAAGGGGAGAAAAAGAAAGGAGACCTATGTAATACTCTTTGTAATACTTTAAGCAATAAAAAAAGAAGAACGTTTTCATCACCCGCCACACACACCCTCCCCGCCAAATATCCATGCTATCAGTCATCCCCATCCCCCCCACCCTCCCTGCACCAGACAACCGCCAGCCAATTTCCCTTCTCTCTAGACGTGCCTGCTCTGGCTTCCCTCATGGCCTCACGGCTGTAGGTCGTGTGTCCACACATGTGTCCACACGTCATCCCTTTTGCTGCAGAATAATATTCCATTATATAAATGCAGCATATTTTATTTATCCATTCGTCAGCGGGTGGGCATTTGGGTTTGTTTCCACTTTGTGACTATTTATGAACATCCATGTACAATTTTTTTTTTAAATATATTTTATTGATTTTTTACAGAGAGGAAGGGAGAGAGATAGAGAGTTAGAAACATCGATGAGAGAGAAACATCGATCAGCTGCCTCCTGCACATCTCCTACTGGGGATGTGCCCGAAACCCAGGTACATGCCCCTGACCGGAATCGAACCCGGGACCCTTCAGTCCGCAGGCCAACGCTCTATCCACTGAGCCAAACCGGTTTCGGCCCATGTACAATTTTTTATAAGGACGAGTTTTCGTGTCTCTTGGGTAGATACCTAGGAGTGAAAATGCGGGGCCCCCTGTGTTTAACCTTTGGTAACTGCCAGGCTGTAAAGGAGGTACCCCACTTTACATCCCCACCAGCAGCGTCTGAGGGCCCAATCTCTTCACATCTGTGTCAGCACTTGTCATTGTCTCTCTTTCAGGATCGTAGGCAACCTTGCTGGTGGGGACTGGTATCTCCTTGTGGTTTTGACTCACATTTCCTTCATGGCTAATCATATTGAGCACCTTTTCATGTACTTCTTGGCCATTTTTTGAGAAATTCAGTCCCTCTGCTCATTTTTAACTGGATTATTTGTCATTTTATTATTGAGTTGTATGTGTTCTTTATGTATTTTGCATACAAGTACCTCAAATACATCTTTTTTCACATATTTTCTCGCATTCTGTGATTAGTCTTTCTAATTTCTTGGTGATATCCTTTGAGGTGTCAGAGTTTTAAATTTTAATGAATTTAAATTTTTTTAATTAAATTTTTTTAATTTTTAAATTAAAAAACTTCTTATCTAAT